TTTTGGTCTTGAGTAACCATTAGCCAATCAGCATCCAAGGTAACCCCCCCCCCCCTCCCTTATCACCTGAATCTCCTCCTAGAGCACCATTGTGTTCTTTTTAACCAAATGTCTCTCAGAGGGGCGTGGGGAGGGGCTCCTTATTTTCATCTAAAGTAACACACAGAGAATCAGCACTTTGGAAACAGGGCTGAAACAGAGGGGATTATGGGTAATGCTGCAATGATCTGTTTGGTGTTTGGAGACAAACACTTCAGAGACATGTTATGTATCTGAGAACTATAATATATGTCTACAAATAGCACCAGGAGACCTTTAAGCCAGTCAAAGCACCCAAGATTGAGAGAAAGGAACAATTATATTTTAGTATAAACCCACAAAATATTGACCTTGGGTAAAAGTTTACTCTTATAATATACAACCCAAACTACATTGTATTAACCCAACAAAGAATGGATTTAGATGTAAACACCACAGCACTTATAGTCCCACTGACAGAGTAAGACCTCCATCAAGACTACATACAACATTAAAATCGACTCTGAATTGTTATTTCATCACAGATTTCTAAATGCACTAACATGTCAAATATTTTCCTCCCTGGTCGTATGACACCTTGGAGACTATTTTGAAGTATTGAATGTTGTGTTACAGCACATTAGAGTTATGACAGAGCATAAGGAGAAAGAGAGGGGGGGAGGGGGGGGGAGANAGATAACATTTAACAAATGTCTCGAGTGAATCAAGCCAAGAAAATGTTAAAGACGTGGTCCGTGTCGTACACCCAGAGGCTGAGATTTATCTATCCAAATATCATCCAACTACAAGAGCCAACAGCTTATATCATCAAACATATGTCATTCCTGAAACAGTGACATTTTTCTGGATAATCCACAAACAATACTCTCAAACGTTTTCATGGGGACTTTTTCTCTCATAGAAAGTATTTCCAATTTGAACAGTTCACATAGAGGTCTGTTGAATATCCAGAGTCACACGGAAATGTTTTTGGACAGGCAAGTTACTTCTTTTGTTAAATCACCAAAGTACTTTATACAGTACAGCATCATAGTATTTTGGTACAGCAAAAAATACGCTTTTTCTTGTAATTTCGGTGAACTAGAGACAGTCAGTCCACTATTAATTATGTTAACCCTTCTAGGCAAGGCAAGTTTATTTACCTAGCACCTTTGAACACAAGGCAATTCAAACATTAAAAAGTAAATATAATTAAACATGAATAACACAGGTGAATACAAGTTGCAGTGCAGTGTAAGATGTGGATAGTTCAATTAAAAGCAGCGGCAAAAAGAAAGTCTTCAGCCTGGATTTAAAAGTAGTCAGAGCTTCTACTATCATGCCCTGCTCTCTTGTTACAAGTGCAGGTAGAGAACCACTAGATGGAAGCAATTGGCCGTGCAGCAGTCACTAAAGCAAACATGTGTGTTCACTACCTGCTGAGCACTTTATGACAAGAGAGTAAATCAAAGACAGAGGAAATGCGATGCAGATGGGCCCACATTTGCATGTTATGACTCCATCATGTGACTCTGGTGTGAGACAGACACAACGTAGTGATGCGTACAACAAGGCATTTCTCTTGTTTGAAGTGAGAACTGAATGTTAGACTGACCTCTGGTTTCAGAGCAGCAGCTTCAGCATGTGGCTTTGTCTCCGGTGGTCTGACCTTGATGTGCAATGACTTTCTAGAAAATATTTAGTGTTGTCTGCTGGTTGGAGTGTTTAATATGGATACATCAAATGAGAGGAAGAACAAGAAACAACATTGCAAGTCTATAATCAGAGGTGCACATAAATGGTACGCAGGTGCGCATGCGCGGCAATAATCTGAAATGCGTTCCGTCACTTGTGTCACAAAACGCATTTCCGTACGGACGTACTTGTGAAGCTTTTCCAGAAGGCGGTTAGATCACCAGACGAAAGAGTCGGTTTCCGTGTGCACAGACAGGGCTGCTGTTAACGTCAGTCTGTCAGTCTAAAACCAGGGCTCTCAAGTTTTGAACAGAGTTCAGAGTGAGATTTTGGCAGCGGTGTTTGGTACTCCAACTTCTGGCTCCCCTCAAAGTTCCCATGATCACGAGTCTCACACTAAGTGTCCTTACGCGTAAAATCTCTCGGAGAAATCTCCGTCGATATACCACTATATAGCCTTAGTATCACCACATAACACTCGTTGCCTATTTTAATCCTGTATCTACTCAATGAGCACGAGATGCGTGACTATACCACTCCCGGTGGCCCGCGTATAACAAGTTTAGAGAAGCTCGTCGTAGAGGAAAGAATTTTGTGACGATGTGCGATAATCGCGCCCCACTCTTGTGGGGTGAATGTCACGGTGAGAGTTGTGTGATAGGCACACAGGAAAACACATAGTGGCAAACAATCGTACTAAAAGTTCCCTCGTATAGTCTACACTCAAGGGTATGAAACCGAACAGTGAAAATTACCGGTTCGCAGTCAGGGAGAATTGTGTGATGTTGTTCAATAACTCTAGGAACTCTGGTCATCGAAATCATGTCCTTTGCTAACCATTGCACAGCTAAACTTCACTATGTGGGCTTCCCAACAAACGAAGTCATTACAAATACCTCTCACGCAGCACCCCTGAGGCCCTGCGGATGCCGAGCACCTTGTACAACACTAGTCGCAAAAACTCACGGTCTCCGAAGAGTCAAGGCGTAGAAGCCCGCCACTCCTGGTGGTGCGTAAGAAACTGAGACAAAAGAATTTCCTGCCTTGCGAGTGCTCCGCGACGTGGTGGGCCGGTTCCGCAACACTCCGACCCGACCAAAAGGTGCGTCTCTAAAGGAAAAGGTCCCATGCGGTTGGCTTCAACGCGGCGTTGAAAACCAATTTGTGTTGGATCCGGAACAAACCTGCAGCACGTGCGGGTGATCGGGTAGGGTGGGGGGGGGTGCAACAATGTAAGCGCTAT